AGAATGCTTGTAGTGCCCTCCCTGAGCAAGGCAAATCTTAGAGCTCCTCTAACTCAAACCAAATACCTTTATCCTGAGTAAACATGAAAGAAAAACAAACTGTGCCTACAGAGGAATCGGGGTGAAGAGTCCCCCTCGTAGGGACACAGGAGCCAGTCGCCTGCTGTACAAAGGTTCCTCCTCCACCGGCAGCCCTCCTGTTGGTGACAGACCACTGCCTGAGGTGTGGCTCTGGGGCTGCCTCATCCTGCTCCTTGGGTCAAACAAGCAGCAGGACAGCTTTGCTCCAGCCACGGCCTCCCTTTGCCCCAGCGCATTGCACGCCCTCTGGTCACACCTTGTCACCTGTGTGACTTGCTGCCCTTGCCAGTGATGGGGTGAAAGTGAATAAGGTGATGACATGGTGAAATTTTCCTATAGCCCTTTTCCAGTATCCTGCCATGTGCACGTGTGTCAGTGCTGGGCTGCCTGTGGAACCTCCCCATGCTTTAGAAGTCTGTTGCATCAACCAATTTTAATCTCTTTAAAAGGTAAGGTTTTATATTTATACATTAATATATTTATTTAAATACTCTTAATATTTACAGTGTCCATTTCTGCTAAAAATTGTTACGTGTACCATCAGAAAAAGGGGGAAACACAAATATAGTAAGGTGACAGACATTAAGGGTGAGACATAAATCACAAAAGCAAGGGGTTTATTGTTTAGGCTTCCAGGCTGTGTCACTCCTGCTCCTTGTCTACTGCGGAAGTCCCCTGAATTCCCTTTGTGGGAAACCATACTAGTTTTCTACATGGAAAACTATCATAACGGATGTACAGTCAAATCCTAACATGAATTAGTTGTAAGAAAATAAAAGTTCGTACTACTGCTACTAATATTTAACTACTTACTGTATATAGCGCCTTTAATTTGAAGATCTGAAAGTGCTTATAAATAATGATCTAACCCCTGCTGCGAGGTAGGTAAGTATTATTATCCCTATTTTACAGATGGGGAAACTGAGGCATTAGAGAGGCTAAGTGACTTGCCCAAGGTCACAGGTGGCTCAGTGGCAGAGCTGGGAACAGACCTCAGGAGTCCTGTTCTCTAGTCCTGTGCTCGAACCACTCTGCATGCTTCCTCTGTAGGGACCACGTGTACAAATACTTGAGTATTTACATATATACCAGTAAGTGAGTAATATACAAATGCAATTATCCAAATAATCTGCAGAGATTTGTCAGTTAATTTCTTGTTTCTGAAACAACTTCTTTAATCTCTGACCTGAGTACAGACACCTCCTAGCTCTATGTGATATTCTTAACCCTGGATGTTATTTGTTAATTTTTTAATTGGTGATCACTTGTAGGTGTGCTGGTTTAAACAGCCAGGTGAAAATGATACCGGGGATGGGAAGTAAGAAACAAAACAATTTCAAGAGCAAGAACCTTAAAGAAAGGGCAAGTGGTAGAGAGCTCTTACTCCTAATTCCAAATTCCTTGCATATGTATAAGGACTATTTTGAAGCCCACAGAATAAAGGCCAGGCATGTACCAGTTGGGGCACAGCTGTGCATCTTGAACCCAAGCCAAGGAAAAATTTAATTCCTCACAGAAGCTCCAAGTGTCCCATCAGCTCCTACCCTGGTTGCTTGCACAGACAGCACAGAAGGTAAGTTCACAGATTTCTCTGAAGGAAAGAATAACTTGCACTAAAACATGTTTTCTTTTTGAGTAACTGAAAATGGAAAAATGCTACTGAAATCCTAAATACTGTGACTGCAAGTGAATATAAAAAAAAACCATTTTGCTTATCAAGTGTATTTTTCACAAGATACTTCAATTTCCCTCCTCTGAAGCTCCTGTTTCAGAGAAATAATAATTCACCAGCTGCTATAAAGTCTATTGCTTCCAAAGGGGGATGCATAGATGGAATCAAACAGAATTTTGCCTTTTGGAGGACCAATTTGAGTTTGGCAAACTCCTGGACACATGTATTCATCACAGCCAAATCAAATACTTGTGTTAAATTCCGAAGCCAGCTCAAACTAGCTCATAGCTGGGAGCTAGGAAGTATCTGAGTCATGATACAAATCCCAGGGGAGCCCCAGCCAAGCAGCCGTGTGCCGTACCTCTCGCCTTTAGCGTCACGTTACGGAGAGGTTTGTGCAGGCTGCGTTCTCCATCAGGCCATTCCAGTGTGGCAGTTCCTACCCCTGCCCTTTCAGGACACAGCAGGGGAACGTGACTTACGCAGTTTGCACAAAGGGGTTTGTGGTGCCTGGTGTCATTTTCATGTTTTTGGGGGCACCACTGTGGAGTTAATTGCATTTCATTTTGTTACTTACACCTGTTAATGCGGTGCTGCATTTGAATGACACAATATAATCGTCACCAGTAGCAGCGCGCCTGCTCTTGTGGGAAACTTAAAAGCCTTTCTAGGGTCCAAGGATATGAACCCTGTTTCTGTCCCAGCCTCCAGCTCAGTGGATGTAATCTGCATAGCCATACTGGAATTGTTTTCATTCTTACTTGTTACACAGGAAATACCATAAAGATTTGCTGGCCCCATGTCAAGGGGACTTCATAAACTGCAGTGTGGTTAGGTGAGGATGATTCAAACCCTTTCCTTCACCCCCCTGTAGCAGCTCTTGCTAATGTTCATCTCTTCAGAAATGTGCTCAGTTTGGTTGATCAAACTTGTAGGGCTTTTATTGGGAGCTGCTTTGAGAATTGCTTTCAGTTGGATCTGGCTGCAGCTCTCGGGTACTGATGGATTTGCATCTTAAAAAGAGAGGGGTGCTGGATTTCTTCAGGAGTGATCGGCAATCTGCTTCTGACCCTCAGGGTTTGTGAGTCTCCTTGTGTAGCGCCAATGTCAGTTTGTTCAGCCTTTGATAAAGGAAGAAGAGAAGTCGTTTTCAAAGACAACTCTAACCCTGCAATTAGTATGAAAGCCTAAAATGTGTTGATACAAAAATGCTTTTCACTCTGCCTTAACTAACATGGCTAGAGGCTGAAATATTTTGGGCTTTATACTGCATGCTGGTAACATGACTGATGTCACTTACAAGCAGGGGGAACAGAAACATTTTTGTAGTCCCTGCTCCTAGTTGCTCATTTTTCTTGACACCAGAGCTGCCCTAGAGCCATGGTCTCCACCTTGAGGTCTGGACTCGGTGTCCCATGAGTCCAGTGTGTTGGCATCTCCAGCTCTGCTAGAGGAGCTGGCTGCATGGTTCACATTGATCTCTGATGTAGGTGTGCTCCATCATGCCCTTTAGGTAATACTGTATAGATGCCCAAAGGGAAAACCCAAAAAGGTGCTTTTCCTTAACAAGAGGAGGGAGCCAGGCTTAAAACTCCGGTAGAGTATCCAGCTGCAGGCATCTCTTCTGTGGGGGACTGCTGTAGCGAGAAATCCCGCTCCTCCTGACCTTCTGTCCTGCCATGAGAGCTGCTCCTGCCCCTTGATGGTAAGATCTGACCAGTGCCAAGGGCAAGTGTAGATTTTTCCAGCATTATGCTCTTAAAAACAACCCAGTTCACAGAAGAGGTGATTTGTGGCAACCACCCTTGGCTGTGCTCCAGCCCATGTAACCTCTCCTGGGACCAGAGCCATAAGCGTGACTGCATGCGTGTGGTAACAAGCCTGTCACACAGGAAGGCCATTTCTCAGCTTCTGGTCAGGACTTGCTTTCTCCAAGAAAGCAGCTGACTAATAACAGCTCTGAAGTGGTGGTAATTAAGTGCCAATCATCTGTGTTTCTTAGCAACACTGCAGAGGAAAGTTCAATTATCACATTGTTTAAAAAAAAAAAAAAAACACTGTTAAAAATTCAACCATTTTGCTCTTGATGGGGGTTGTCTTCACTCTCTGAAGCTCCTTAGGACAAAAGCAGTGACATTGCCAGGCCCTGTCCAGACACTACCACAACTGGGGAAATAGAACATCTACTGCTGCATCACTTCTTGTTGCTCCTTACAAAAGGGACTGCAGAGAGTTTCCAGGCTGCCAGGTGCAGTTTGAGCTGCTATTGCTTAGGCTGCTTCTCAGAAATGCAGCTCGCAGGCCCGGGGAAGATGATCTCTCTTAGCACTTGCTGTATACTATGAGGATGGTTTTCTCCCTAAAGCCTGACATCCATCAGAGAGGCAGCAAAAAGCAACTGCAGCAGTGGAAGTAAGATTAGGGATTTCAAAAAAACAGGTACAGCTTGAGGAGTGGGTTGTAAGGGCAAGGCTCAGGGCCGGGTTTTGGTTGGAAAAGGAGAACCACACTGAGGTTTGTGTTTTGAGCAGCCACAGCTGGTTTGGGGTCAGTTCATCTACACAGAAGCTGGTAGCAAGGCCAGGTACTGGCTTCCACTGTCAGCCAAACTGGAAGGTCATTCTGCTCCCTACAGGGGCCATTTCTTATGGGAATTGGGTAAATAAGCAAATCGTGTTCTAGCTGGAGGATCAAAAGGGGTCTCTCAATAACAAGTTACAATTAGTATAACAACCTGGTTCTAGCTGGAGGATCAAAAGGGGTCTCTTATTCAATAACAAGTTACAATTAGTATAACAACCTGAAAAAACAGATACAGTTGAAAGAATTGGAGGTCGTATTGCTTAAAGACAACAAAAGCCAGTTACAACCTGAAACCCTTTCTAAAAAGATTTTAAATACAATTCTCAGCATCCTACAAAGCCACTGCTCACCAGCTGGTTGTGTCAATGAGGAAAATGGAGCAGGATGCAGAGCCGATCGTGTTGGATAGCAGCAGTGATAGCCCGGTGGCAGTGGGATGATGATGAGAGCACTGGAGAAATCCTTTACTTGGCCACCAGCATGTCTGAAGTTTGTGGGGTTTGAAGACAAAGATGGCATCTGAAAGGGTTCCAATGGTTTATAGTGACCTTGTAAATGGTGAAACCTTTAGTTTAGTATTTGTGAGTGTAAAAAAAAAAAAGGTAAATTAAAGTGCAGATGGCTATTAAATAGGCTAATATAAACTTTTTTCCCCCCACCTGTG